ATCGAGTGTAAGAAAACACATTCAATAGATGAATCAGAAAATACGGAAGCTGAATATAACAAAAATGATGTCAGTTATTGGGGAGAATGCTAACTAGGACCGATCACGTCTCATGATTAATTCCTATTTCGAATACATGCCAGAATATTAATTATGTGATTAATAATAAGGGGGAAGAGAAAGCGGGGTTCGATTAAATGCGGCTAAAAGTAGCATGGAAAGGCGCCACAGTTATCGTAATTATAATAATTGACGTTTACAAGGGCCACGAGAGGAAACTCACTTCTTAGTCCCGCGAGAGCACCGGACTTGGAAAGACGACTCGATCTTCCGGTTCTACGATCGAAAGTAAATGGAGAACAGAGGCAAGGCCTATTCGCCACTACGAATATTCCGATTTAAACAGCCAAGTTCAGAAAAAATCCTCTTTAATGTTTTAATAACACTCCTTGATTAAATGGCGATCTTTAGACGCGGACAGACACAACATATCAATTGCTTATGGAGATCGACGAGTACCATTAACGAAACTTGTACGGAAATCACTCCGATCTAAGCAAGTCTTGTATGCGACATATTTTAAGCCAGCATTTACATATGAAATATTTATATCGTATTCCAAGTATGGAGCATAATTCGTAATGTGAATGGTATCTTGAGAGTATCAAGAAAAGTTGAGAATCAATTTATCGTAGAATTAAATTTCTACTAACGACGGCACCATGTTATAAGAAATTTGGTAATTCTCAAAAATATTCCACAAACACTTCCGTTTCAATCAAATTCTAAGTAAACGCTTGTTACAACATAACTATTCGATGAATCTTTACAATAACGAGATTATCACGATAATTCCGTTCTAAAAATTGCGATATTTCATATTATTGCGTCATTAGTGATATTAATAAACACATTTCAAAGAGCTGATTAATCGATTCTACGTGATAAGAAGCTATTCTACTTCATAAAATTGATATCGACGCATTGATTGATAAACAGCTGATAGCAGTGATTTCTGTGTAAATTAACTGTGTAAATTATTGTATTAAATTTATCATTTTTTTTCTATCACACTTTTCATTCTTAAAAAATTAAGCTGTGGAAAAAATAATAGAAAAATTATAATTACTGTATTCTCTTCATCATACTTATTATCTTTTGTTTGTGTTCTAATGTTCTAATAATGTTACAATGAAATGAAACTAGAACCGTACTCGTCACATAAGCTATATGTAAACAATAGCAAATTTTCATTTTATTTACATTTTATTCGAATGCATTCTCACCGTCACAAGGTAATTTTGTAATTAAAGCGAGTCAAGAATACCGTTTGCGAAAGTTTACGTTTTAGTTCTTTGATTGTTTGCATTGCTTTCTTTAAATATAGGTTTAATTATCCTCAAAAATATACAAACGTTTGCATAGATTATTAGTGCAACAAGAGAAGTTTTTCTGTAATAAGCGGATAACATATTTAAAATGTAAAGCAGCCATGAAAAGTAACATTAATTTATTTAATATTCTGATATTTGCCTCTGATATAAAGTAAAGTGTGATACGATATTCAAAGTATAAGCAAAAACAAATTTATATTAGTCTAATGAGACAAATTCTTAAGTTTAACTCGCATTTAGATATAATTATTGTTGTTTATTAGTAACTTTGTTCATTAGCCAATCGAAAATAAAATCATCAGTTAATATATATAATGTTAAAAGGAAAAAATTTCTCGTAGAAACTACAGCAGAGACATTTAGATAACCGAATAACGTGATAGTACATCTCTGCGCAAATTTTCTTGCAAATCACGATTATAACACCCGACAATTATCCGCTACATACGATAGCTCGTTTGGTGGAGAACGAGAGCGAGCAGAAAAGGAATCTAATTATCCAACTATGCTTCCTTACGCGGCTTTATATCTTATCATGTAATATACCGACAATGTTCACGGTATCGTTGGCTCTCTCCGTAGGATAGCGTAAATGTTCGCGTAATTCGGTCCAACGCGTGCTCTCATTATCGGTGCGCTTTTATCGTTCGACAAGCACACTGCCGGATACATTGGAATCCGCGGCAAATGCAAATAAACCTACACTGTGCTATGCGCGCAAATATCAAATAAACATCGAAACTACGGAATTCTGCAAGTACCTATATCTTTATCATTATCTATTGTACAATCAAAGTAATCTATAACCGACTGATTGATTTCATTCCTTCCCAAAACTATCTTGCCTTATCCATCGACGATTTTTCTCAAATGAGAGATATAATTTACGTATACGCGAGAGTGCTTGTAACGCGGAGTTAAACCGCTAACTTTCGAACTCTTGTCGTCTTGAGAAAGCTTGTCGTCGCGTGCGAGTACGTGTATGCACGTTCTTATCGAGTGCAAAATAATTTAGAAATTAAAAGTCTTAAAAACAGTATTAATGAGAGTCGTTAGCTTTATATCGTTTCGCCGGATACATTAACTGACAGTGGAGAGAAAACGCGTAAAAAAATACCGTACGATAACGGAACGTTCGAGAATTGGTGCGATCGAAGTCGTCACATTCGCGCAGTCGTGAGAAAAGCAAACGCCTCGTAACTGGTCAACTGGTGTAATTGATGAACTCGCGTAATTTTATTTCTGCGGCCTCGTTAGTACGCTTCCGTTCGCAAAGTGCGTATCTTATGGAGGACCACGCGTACAACTCTCGGCGTCGCAGAGGACCTCGCGAGCGCACACTCTCCCTAACAATGTTTGTTATAGCAGACGTACGTCGAGGAATGTGCGCATTATATCATTACGCACTATTACCCATTACATACCTCGTTACACCGTATATATCGTATATTATCCTAGATACGCCGCAGGAAAAAGTGAGGATTCTCTCTTTTCACCTCTCTCCCTCGCTCTCTGTGTACCACTGATGAGACCCTCGGACCATTACCATGCACGTCCGCGTGCGCCTGTGTGAGCACGCGTTCGCAACATCGTACGTACGTAATACTTGGCGCAGGCTATCTCTAATTGTATAGTAAATAACCTTCGTAAATTACGCATATAATGCTTAATGCCATCGTATGGTCGCGCGCCGCATTGTGCAGCGCGCCTATCGCGTTATGACATTCAATTGCGACGTCTCAAGCAATCACAGCCGCCTTACGGACTCGGACACTTTATGGCGCACAATGATATTGCACACGGAGAAGCATAGTCACCCGTGGAGAAAGAGAAAAAAAAGAAGAAAAAAAGAGTTCTCGAGACGAGGCAATGTGTCGTCTCGATAAATCGAGCTAATCCACGCGAGAATTACTCCGAACTAATGAACGTTACTATTGTGAAGGTATTGTCGATAGCACGCAATCGTTTTATATTTATCACGAGAAGCGCCGCTTTGATCGACTATAATTAATAGAAGAAAGCGGCATAAAACTGTAGTCTTAATCCGGTTCTTAATTCCTAATCTCTAATCCGGTTCTTAATTCCTAATCTAATCTTAATAAAAAAAGAAAAGAAAAGAAATTATCTTGCAATTAGCAATAATGTAAACTGGTACATACGCTTGATCGATACTTCTGACGTGCGTATAAATTTATTCATGCGATTGATTAGAACGCTAAATTGAGAGTTCATCCTAATATAAAGTAAAAATCATAGTTACATAGTTTTACTCTTATATTGTTAATTTTTTTCTAAAGCAGCTATTAATAAAAGATCACGTATTGCAAAATTTATGCGTCAAATCGTACAAAAGAAATATTTCGTTTATCTCACGTGAATTATTTGGATTCGCTTTGCGATGAGTGTTTGATTACCTTGAGTCCGACCTCTGCACACGCAATGAGCAGAGAGGACAATGTCTGGCCGGTTAGCCTACACTTTCTCTGTACCTGGATAACCCCGGAACAATGTTATAACGGACTGAATCACGTACGATTGCATAAACTCACATAAAATCTTTGTAGTAATATTTTCAAGTGCAATTGGTGCTCATGCTGCGATTACTAATCATCGCGTGATAAGCGTGATTGCGATTCACATTCGATTCTAATGTCTCTCAACGTGGTAATTCGTGCGGTTGTCGCGTGTTCATATCGCACATTGCAAGTTGCTCATGCATAGAAAAAATATGAAAGTCTTTCACTTTTTATATCTCCACACAGCTTAACAACTTGTTAAATAAATTACATATAGAACGATAAAGTGATAAAGAAATTTATACAATAAAAAATATTAATATTGAAAAAAAATATAAATATGGAAAAAATTATAATATTGGCTTAAAAATCTTAATATATTGATTAAGTTTAGAAAAAACTTTTTAAGTAGAGTTACAGTATACTAAAATCGACTTAAAAGGTAAATCATAAAATAAAATATTTAATTTCTCATTTAATGAATAATACGATAAATTTTTATCTGACATCATAAAATATATGAAATATATCATGATATTGAAATATATCATGATATTGATAAAGAAATTTAAGATTTATACTTTTTAAAATAAAGATTTTAGAAAAAATAATAAAATTTTTATATGTATCAATATAATTTTATAAAAAGACATTTCAGGAATCCTTTAAAAAGTCTACTTTTTTACTTTTACTCCATTTATCGATGATCCTGCCATAGTAATTACTGAGATTTAACTGATTCAAAACAAGCTTGACAATTTTATGTCCTTTCTCAAATACATACATATATATTCTAATCAAATATAATCAATTATATGCAACAATAAAATAATTTGTAAAAAACAGCAAATATCCACAATGCAAAACTCTGCATTTTAAATTCAATTTCAATACATTTTCGCTTACATCATTCTTACAAATCTAACAATTTTAAAAAACATATTTTAATCGCCTACGCGATTCCAAAACTCTGCACACGTAGGTTTGCCACCCTTTGACTGCAGTGTATCAATACACGCGATAATAAAACTCGCAATCACGATGGAGGATCGCGCTTAAAAATCGTACATGTAAAAGGACTTGCATTTACCTGGGACGTTGAAGTATCCGACGTCGATTATTGGTAGTTATTGATGTTGCTAGATGATCGCCTATGAGGGCACGGCTGCTTGTAAACTATTTTTTGCTCCTTCCCCACTGGTAACAACTGCACATTGTGGCACTGTGTATTACCGTGTATATGTATCTCGCAAGTACCGATCTGAAACAGATCGCGCGGCCAAACGTAAACGACGATATCAAAGACGTGCGGAGTAAAGAGAGTAGAAAAAAAAGAAGCGGTGACCACGTAAAACCGGGGGAAGGGGGAGGGGGGAGAAAAGGAGAGTGACGGACGCGGACTGGTCCTGTTCTGACACAGATCACTGACCAGCTCCACTTCAAGACTGACGCGATACTAACTTCGCGGTCGTGCATCTGGTCGAGGAAACGCGACACAACCGGCTCCACGGCACTCGGCCGTTTTCGTTGCTGCTCGGTGTTGCTCGCACCCCGTCGATCCGAGTGCAGGTAGACGCAAAGGTATATAAGCATGTATATGTCTACTACGTAGGAACATTATATATAGCGCGCGCGCACTCACGTATAGGCGCGGGCTTAGTATGCGACCGTAGTGTGTCAAGTAACGTGTGTGTACAAAAGTATAGGTACGCCCACGCAATTTCGAGTCTTGACGATAATGAAGAACTCGCCTGTACCTTTGGTGAGCGTATCGATACCATAAAGGTATCTTTTCGCATAGAATTCGCACTTGCAAGAGCTATAAGCTATATCTACAAGCTATATCTACAGATTTTTTTATTACTTTGAAGTGAATAATCTTTTTTCGGCAAGAATCTGATTGTAGAGAATCTTTTTTTATGTTTCTTTAAATTTTTAACATATCTTGACATATAATGTTAAGTAAGCATTACAATCACTCAAAAAAATATTTCGCTGATGTAGTTAGATTTCTAGATATCGCAACAAGAATGTATCGCTATTTTTCGTATCTGTGAAAACATTGTTTGTCACATACAGAATTTATAGCAGTAATGTTCTAGCAATAGCTTCTGAAAAATTTAGGTACCATTGCTAAATGTTATTCATTGCATGGTCTAACACGTGATTGATCTTATATAGATAGGCGCTTTAGAGAAACTTTCTTTTTAAAGTTCACAAACAATACAGATATATATTCTGTTTCTGTCATCTAAACTGATTAAGTAATTACATATGCAATATCACAACAGTTGCTAATTATTTATCTGTTTTAGTTAATTTTTTACACCTAGAAAATTTTAGCTATTATTGCAAGATCATTTTTTTGAGTGATTCTTTTTATTTTAATTAAAATATAATTTTCTATAGAGAAAGAAATAAATTAAACATTGTTTATTCTATTAAATTTGATAAAATTATTTTAAATGACTTGTTTAGTATGATTCGCTTTATTTCTTGCGATATGAAATTGATATTACGAATGCGAGATTTATGAATTTGATAATGATAAATTCGCGAGCGCGTGATATTGCACGCATTACAAAATTATACAACATTACAGGTTGGTGCGACGTTAAGTGCAATATTCAAGGATATAATAGAATACGAAGAAACATAGAGATTTAAGCTAATGTCCGCAAAACCGCTACAATAAGGGTTGAACGCGCATGATGGGCAAAAATATGATGTGTACAAAGTGATGTACTCATCCCTATAATTTTACATCTTTCACTGATGAAGATCTTGGTCAGATATTACTTAATAATTTTACATATGTTTAGACATGTTCAGACTTTGCAGGAAGCAAAAAGTTTAAGATAAGTTAAGATGACAGGTTTAATCGACAAGTAAAGAAATGAATAAAAAATCAAGAATATTTAAATTTGAATAAATGTTTGAACAATGAATTTTACAGCGTATTTTCATAATTTCCCCTAATAACAGAAAGATTAAAGTACTCTAATCGATTAGTGACAAAGTCGGTTGGATCGATTATTGTCGATAGAAATCAGAAGTATGGTTACCATCTACAGTTCACACGAAGCGGAATGTCTCGGCGGAGAATCAGGCCGAGCGTTTTCTGTAGCGGTGCGCAGTGATCCGCTGGATCGTGAGATAATTATGGAAATGAATTTCGATCGTTATGGGGGCGTAGATCTCGATTCTTCCGTGACATGACCCGGACTCGACAACGATGATCCCACCCAGCACCATAATTTTCTCTACAATTTTCGTGCCTGCGTGTAAACATCCAACGGTACGTTACTACAAAGCGCGATCGCAACGTATACCGCCGATAGTCACCTAAAAAGGGCAAAATATTTGGCCTACTTTTTACACTCATGTTCGAACGTCAGAGAAAAGGCAGTCTCGTAGAGCAATTCCGAATGTTTTTCAACTAAGATATTATCATAACGGCGAGAGGCCAGACATGAAGACGCTATTCTAGCGGTTTTGCTTGATGCACGTCGTGAATAGGATGAGTTATCAGTCAAATACTAATGTCGGTACACAGTGCTTTTAACACTCGACTACTTCTTAAATTAGCCTGGCGACGGAGCTATTCAGAGATGTGAAAGGACCGCGGAGACGAGGTGACGGAAGCTGGAGGGACGTCTGTATAGACGACATCTCTCGCGCAGCGGCAGCTTTACGAGGAGAAAAGAGGAGAAAAGCGACAGGAGGATGAAAGAGCGATGTGTGAGAAATTGGACAAGGACACACGAGTGGATCACCGAGAGCCGATTCTAAGCGTGTATGCGCGCATTATCTAGCCCGCACGAGCGCTACGAACATCCATGGCTTGTATTTAACGGCATTACGCGCGCGTCCGCACGGTCACGATTCATGCATAATTTACCTGAAAGCACGATGAAAAATAGTTTTGACCTCAAGGGCCAGGACGGGAAAGGCGTTTGTCCGCCACGCACTCGACTGCTGCCGCTGCTGTCTGCATAGAAAGTGGCTGCCCTCGCTGCGTTACGTGCGAGGGTGCATTGGACTGGTCAGAGTTGTAATCCGATTGACTAAGGCCGCGGTTAGGACTGCTTGCGGTATAATGGCATTGCGCGGACGATCTCTCGATACATGAAAACGACGGAGACGCGTGGATCCGCTTCACGACATTTTTAGAGACACGCGATGCAATTCATCAAATACTTCTAGTGTCACGAGACTTGAAATTAAGAAATCTTCGTCAAAAGCTTAATATTTTCAAAACCAAAAATGTTTTTGAAAGTCTTGGTAAATGAGCAATCTCCACTAATTCATTATTCGTGAAAGAAAATCGCGTTAGCGATTAAAGTCGGGAAAACGAGCTGTTTCGCCATTGAAAATGCTTATCACTGATTCTATTTTGTCTTTTTTGACACGAATTTTGCGAAATGTAATTTTTCCACGTTAATTATCAATATATTCATCAGTATATTCGTCGGTATATTCTTATTCTGTATCTGCAACAGGTGCATCGCGTTATGGTTTTAAGTTCCGCGTAATCCGGCAGCATCCTCGATAGAATCTTCTCAAGCAGTGTTATCACCTGCCATAGGAACTTGGCACCGCTTGCCTCAACCGCTGGCTTCTTAACGCTGTACAACACTATGGGGAAACCTGTTTGTCATGTATCTCGCTCTCGGGATATATTAACTGCATTCTGTCGCTCACGTGCAATGTCTGGTACCCGAAGGAAACCATGTTTCTTGCTCTCTTTCGCTTACATTCGCGTCGACAATGAAACTTCCTGTCCCATCATATAAAATATACAGTCTACCTTGAAATCATTGTGAGTAATCTGAGCAACGCGCGCAACAAGTGTATCACCGTAGATCATCGGCTCTTTTAATTAGCAATATTTAGGCGTGCGAGGACAAAACTTTTTCAACATTTATTTGCAGCAAAAACGCGCCACGGAGTTATCTTTATGTCTCTATCATTTTTTCAGTAATAATTAAAATGCAGTTTGATGAAAAGATAAATACATAAAAACATATTTATAAGTTTTTAACAATGCAAACATCAAAATAAAAGATGCAATTAACCATATTTTTAACTAAAATTTCATGCCTTCTCATAAAAATCTCTTTTGAACGTACTGCTGGACGAGAAAGGAAGAAAATTGTACTTCTTGCTAATAATATATTATTGTAGATATGTGTGTAAGCCAATGCGTAAATGCCCTAGCTTACAATTAGTAGTGTTCTGGCTAGCCTAGGCATAGACACTACCATATACTCGTTACTACTGACACTCTCGCTGTTCGTTCACACAGCGGCAGCCGGTATATCCAGTCCCGCATAATTTTAACCGTAAGATATACGGAGTTTATACTGAGGTTAAAGTACGCGCATATCCGAGCCATGGAGTATTCTGTCGATTTCAGACGAAATTATTCCGTCGATTTCAGACAAAATTATTCTGTCGATTCGCCAATAGTTTTGCAAAAAAGCAGACGAAAAATATGCAATAACGAATAATAAATGGATAACCCATCATTTTATGCAGCTCAATACAAACGACTCAATTTCGCATTGCTAGTGGCCTGTCACGGTTCGAATTATAACGATACACAACGATTAAGCATAATTCTTGGTTGATTTATATCTGAGCAACGCGCTCAGAAACAAAATTATTTATGGAAATTTCGGCACAATTCAAATCAGATTGGCAACGTGAATACTTGTTTGATATTCCTGCACTACCGTCTATTAATCCATAAATACGCTTAAATTAATAAAGCTATGATCGAAACCTCAGCAATGTTAATTAACTTAAAGCGTAATTTCGCTTTAATCATGATGTAGCGTAAGATTTTTAAAATTAAATGTTCTCGATGATGAATATCGATGCTTCGCTAGCGTCATTCGTATGAATGCCGCATCGGGTCATCGTCATCCCATCGATCTTATCCCCCTTCTTTCTCTCGTCTAGAAAATAGGTATCGCGTTGCTATTCTTGGCGCACTTGTTACTACTAATTACAGACTTCGACAGAAATCAGGTTCGGGAAGTGAGCATGTCTTGGCACTCTCGCGACGTTTAATATCCTCTGAAAGTGCGTAATACGGTTGAGTCATCGACGCACGGCGAACGCACTTTTCGTCAAGTGCGGAGGACAATGTCATCGAAAATTAAATTTTCTGCGTGATACGGAACGCGCGACTCCAGGAAGAGGAGAAACGGATCTCGCGGAAAGAGAGCATCTCGAACAAGACGGAGCGATGTACTCTATGTCACGTTTGCACGTAGCTCGTAATACCGCGGAAGACGTACCGCCTTCTCCGTGACGTAAACCGACCGGTTACACGGGCGGGCACGAAAAAGATGAGCGTTCGTGTAACGGAGCGTACGATGAGTCTGCGGACGCGCATTTTTCCCCGCGGCGCCGCTGTTCTCTAGCAGCCTCGGAAACGAAATGAGCGCACGTACGTGTCGATAATAATAATTTCTTGTTACTTGATCGCGAACGAAAAGGTTTCGCGTAAATATGATGTCCATGCAAAGCCGTATTTTTCTTCGCAAACCCGATAATTACAACGCACATACTGTTATTCGAATTCTAATTAAAAAATTTTTATACGAGAGCGGCGGTTGGACAAATTACCTTATAATTATTTAAATTGTAAATTGTCCGAAAACAAAATTGTCTGTTTTACAATTTAATAATTAATGTTAGTAGCTATTTATTTTCAAAGAGTATAATAGTAACGAAATATGAATAAAATTGTTATCGCATTCAAAATGTGAGCAATCGTCTTAAATTGTTTTCGTCGCGAGTTTGCTCGCCAAGTTTCCGCTATTGCGTGCCAACAATTTTAAAAATGAGAATTGTTGCGTTACGCAGCGTGATCATAAAGTTAATGGTTCCTGTCATTACGCAAGCCACTAATTATCAGGGAGATTGATTGAACATGCCGACTATCAAGGCGGCAGCGGCAGCGCAGTGGCGAATGATACGGATGTATCTGCTCTATGTACTGACATAGATATCAGAACCGAATGATATACCGATCGTTAAGATAAAACTATTTATCCCAACTCAAATGTTCACAGTATGCTGAAATCCCTCGATAAGACACGCGTGGTATCTTTCGCATTATTATTTATTGCGTGAATGATAAAATAAAGTTGCACAGATTTATTTAATTAAGCGCACTTAAGTGCCTCATAAAAATCCGTTTCCTTCGGCAATTAATCCGATGAATTTTTCTTACGTTTCATACAGCGTAATTCTATTCCTTGTCGCGACACGCAAAAGAAAGAAGAACGAATTTTTCTCAAAAATATTGCTCTCAAATTTTCACGACTACATAAAACCTGTGATTTATACCTATATATGGTATGTAATGGTAAAAAAAAATCCAACCGCTAAGTAAAATAAACACAATCTCGTGTACAAGAGATGAGCAACTTCAGCGCGGCGCTCAGTGAATAATGAAAGTTCAATCACTGTTAATTATAGGTGGTCTTGAGAGCAAGATGTTTTTCCTTACCCTCGCAGATCGCCCATTGAGAAGTGACGGCAATGACGGATTCGCGTTACGACCTTGTGGATCTCTAATTACTGTGCGCGATATTATCGCGGGACATGAATCATTGCTATCAATGAAATAGAACGGACCGCGTGTGTTAGCGGGTGCTGAAAAATCGAAGAATCTTAATAACTTCTCGCTGTAACTGTACACGCTTTAGAAAGATGGAATTTCTAATCGAAAATGTTTGTTAACGCGCAATCCTCAATGCGTCGAGCGTCTTGCAGTGCAATTAATTAATAATTATAGGTATAACTTTACATAATATTTGATTGTTCTCGTACAAGGAAAACTAGACGATTTAATTGCTTACATTGACTAAATCGAACAAAAAATTGCAGTTTGCACAAAAGCATGCAATAAGAAAGTACCATGAGAAACACATATAAAGACATTATCTTCTGTTGAATTTCACGTCAACTGCGTGAAAACGGAACACGAGGTAATATAGTTGCTGTATTCGCAAATCCAAATGATTACATCGGCAATTTTCTTACTTATAGCTACATGACGATATTCGCGCGCATTATGCGGATAATACGGCAAAAACTTCCGTGCGGTACAGACAGCAATATTTTCGCACTTGTCATGTCGAAAGATCGTAAAAGCTGAAATTGTCTCTACCTAACATGGGCAACCGCAGGACAATGCGACCGCAATATTGCTCTTCAGTCAACCGAGTTATTTCGTTATAGGTCACTACAGCTTGTAAAATCTTCTCCAGACGCAATTTGAGCCCGATTATTTACAGGGGCGGATTTACCAGCTCAGTGCAATAAATGTAAACAAGAGCGTTTTATTGGCTAATTCTGTGAGAGCATAATCTACAGTTTAGAACTTAGAAACATCCAAGTTTGAAAAATTCTAATGGAATATATTATAAGAAAAATGAATAAATATATAAAAGAAAATTATCTGAAAATTGCATATAAAGTTTCTGCATATTTAATAATAGAAAAATTCAGAGTTCCCTCCCATTCTGTATTTATTTAATTCACTTTTGTGTACCAAAGATTGAAATAACAACATTGAGATAACATATTCGATTTTTTACAGTTTTTAAAACTCGAAAATGTTTCTGTCAATTAAAAATAAAATAGTAACAATTATTCGAATATTTTTCTGCTACAAAAGAAATTCAGTTAATTAATTAATTAAATTCTAATAAAAAAATATTTTTTTTATTTACTATTTATAAACGTTTTTTGTTCATTTAAATTTTAAAAATAGAAAAATTGCGATGAAGTAACTGTTATTGTTAGATTTCTATTTGTGTATTTGTATGTAATTAATAATTGTAACAATCAAATGAGATGTATGTATATTCATCATTATCAATTAGCGACTATTAATTTATAAATATTATTCAATCTACTTCTTAATCTTTATTTTTAATAAAAAAATTGATCAAATGCCGATTTCTATTATAAGATATTTAATTTTAATTGTCCGCAAACTATTAATAAAAGAAATATTAGACAGATGAACAAAATATTTCTGAAATATTATATTTTGCAGGCAATTAAAATAAAGTATCTTATACTAAAAGTTGATATCTGTTATTTCTTTTAAATATTTCTTGCATTTTTATTAAATAAGTTCCAAAATTGGATAAAATAAATATGTAAAAAGTGCATAATATTCATTTTTAAACAATAATAATTATAATAAAAAATATACAGCGATTTAAAGGTTTCTTTTCAACTCGTCGCAACGCGTTTCATAATAGACCGCGATTAATGCAATCGAAATGCAATATTGCAATTCTCGAAATATCAAAGCAGTAACAAAGCAGTGACAAACCAATCACCATTCAGCTTTTGGAAAGAAAAGAACAAGAAAATAAGTACAAAAAGTGCAATTAAAACAATCCTATTATTTAACACAAAAATAAAATGTGAAATATTTTAGTAAAATTATAGATAGTTGAAATAATGAATTATTGTAAGAAATGTAATTTACGCGCCTAATTATAGAATAACGTCATGTATGTACATGCATCTATTGCACCTCTGCTGCACTTTAACGAGAAATAACGTATTTCTTATGTTGGCTACACTGAACCATACAGTTGCTAGTCCCCGCTGCCCATTCTTCCGGTATCGTTCTTTCAGGCAAGCGAAATGGCTGATCAGGTACGTGTGTGATGCTATGATAGTCAATTAATTGATTATCTCACGTAATTCGCCCTATTTTGTCGAAACATGAAGTGTTTTCACAAAAGTTGGCATTATAAATAAGTGTATACATGAAATAAACTCGTAAAATTGAAATATGTATAAAAGATTACGGTAATCGTCGCGAACATAACACGTGGTTAGGTCGTATGGTTGTACTAGATAAGTTTTAACGCTGAAATTCAACACTGGGAAAGAAATGTAATTAATTTATATGATTTTGTTACTTTTCAGAGCGAACGTGCGTTTCAAAAACAACCTACGATCTTTCTTAATCGTAAGAAAGGTCTAGGCCCGAAGCGCAGGAAGCCTATGAGATATAGCCGTAATGTTGGGCTTGGTTTCAAGACACCTCGTGAAGTAAGCATAAATCTGTTTTTCATTTAAGTATTTCAGTCAAATTAACGTTTTAAAAATCTAAAATGATGAAATACATGACGGTCTTCTGAAGATACACTGAAGAATGTCTATATTCTCACGTACTGAATATTTTTTCATTTTTCTTTAATGTGAAAGATATTTAATATGTACAAAATGTTTCATTTGTTGGTTTAATTCTTACAGGCTCTTGAAGGAACTTATATTGACAAAAAATGTCCATTTACTGGCAATGTATCGATTAGAGGGCGCATCCTCACTGGCGTTGTACAGAAGATGAAAATGCAACGTACCATTGTTATACGCAGGGATTATCTACATTATATTAGAAAATACAACCGTTTTGAGAAGCGTCATCGTAACATGAGTGTCCATCTCAGTCCTTGCTTCAGGTATATAAAGAATAAAATAGTGTGAATTATTTTTGTGATACTTTCTTCTATTAAATTTATTTTTATATGATGATACTATCACGATGGTCTACTGATATATATTGACTTTGATGAATCTTTATTAATCTGAATAATAAGAAAAATAGTATAACAAGAGATATAATTAATCACTATCAATATTTATTAATCTTATATTGAATTTCAGAGATGTAGAAATTGGTGATGTAGTCACCATTGGAGAATGCAGACCTTTGAGCAAGACAGTAAGATTTAATGTATTGAAAGTTTCGAAGGGAACAGGATCAAAGAAGAGTTTCAAGAAATTCTAAATATCCATCTATTTGATAGTTTTGTAATTATTTAATATCTATTTGTGTAATATTAGTGCTATTATTACAAATATAATTGAATTAAAAAGGAAATAAAATAATAGAATTTAAATTCCCATATAGTGAATATTTTTATATTCATTTTTTAACAGTTAAAGTTATAATATGTAAACCTTCTCATGTATTTTCCCAGATTAAATTGTTATGGAATTGATGACCTTTTTCTGCAACACATCTGCAGAATATTATTAAATTTATATATTCTTTTTTTAAATTTAATTTGCAATAATAGCAGTAATATAAATAAATATTAAATAAGTACAATTCTATGAATTGTAACTTTCATACTTGAAATCTGAGAAAAAAATAAAATTTCTATAAAAATATTGGTCATAAATAATACAATTTACTGCTTCTTATAATGGATTCTCCTTGATGTGTCTTCTAATTGATACATTGTTAATATTACAGAGCCATTGTTAAGCATAATATGAAACAAATCAATTTTTAAAATTTATGCCTTCATAAAATTCTTTTATTTTTATATTGATATACTTTATATTGTTAAAATATTGTAATTTTACTACTAAAAATAACAAGTACATGCACACAAATATGACTTGTGTAAAATTTAATATTCTTGTTTGAAACAAAGAGTAATTTTGTGTTATGTTATTTATTTGTAAAACATCAGACAAAGGTATAATGATTATCAAATCATGATTTATGACAATTACATAAGGAAATGAAAAATGCAGCAGAGGATATCAATTTTGTGCAATTATGCAAGTACATACATATAATAAATAAACACACTACCTACATATAATAAATAAATTCACTCACCAGTTGTTATATCCTAGCAGATGCTTTCAGCTACACCTAAAAAAATTCATATATATTTTAATTATTATGTATTGTATAACATAAATTTTATAATTCATGCTAATTACTAGAAATATTTAACTATATTCATATTGATTAAGATATAACTATATGTAATAAAGGATAAATATTTAAAACATTAAACTGGTATTTAAGGGGTTCAGAAGAAAAGTGGGTCAAGTCCATTTTTGTTAATTGTTAAAAAATTACTTCTAAAGTTGTTTTAATTGTGTGCAACATGTACACTGTTTTTCATAAGTTCTTTTAATTTTAACCTAAATATTTGTACCCATACAGAACATTGCAGCAATATTGTGGCAATATTGCAATGTTCCTGCAATGTTCTGTGCTTATGGTCACTCACTTTTAAATGGATTTAAAAAGGACTTGGTCCACTTTTCCTCTAAACTCTTCATTTAATAAATGTTTTAATAAATATTTTCAAACATTTTAACAAGTGTATAGTAAATACAAATTATAATTGTGTATGTGTTATCACAAGTATCACACTTGCGTGCATATTTAATAATTAAACTCACCAGCTAGGATATCGTAATTTGCGCCATCCCTTGTAGATCCTGTCTTAGAATGATCCACATGAACTTCGAAAAATCGATGAATATCAGAAACTTATTGGTATTCACACTCACTTTGAATTCAACCGATGGAATATTATTAATCAGAAACACTCGCGGTAAATAACACATTTCGGCAATCGCACGTCATTTTAATCGACACTCCCGACGCGCATACGTTATGCACTTAAAAACATGAATTGATACGGATAACATATACGCCATTATTTATAAAACGTTCGCGCTCTGCGTTCCGAATCACAACTCATGAATATTGTCGTTATATTTGATGCTACGCGGTCGGTAGATAATGCGTTTTACGTTGTTACCAATCATAAATAAATTCAATGCGCGCCATCTTCCGGCTACGTGACAATTACTAATCCGTTTTAATTCAAAACGCAGAGCGCGGACACTGCACGATTCATCACTTATTTCAACGAAATATCGTTACTAACACAAACTCGCGATAATGCATTCCGGCAATAGATCATTATTTTAATCGCTATGCCCAATAAAGATTCGCATTTATATGGATAAATTATGCGCTTGTAATCAAATAATCTTTTGAATACAAATAATCTGAATAACCGTTGCATAAAAATTTGTATTCACTGTACGTTTACGTGTACGCTTACCACTAACGAATTCGCCGTTAAACCGTCGAACATCCATAATATCACTTCCGACAATCTCCCGTTACTTAATCGGCTCGCACTTACGTACTTACTCCCGCACGCACTTAATTTGCATTTATAACGTAGATTGATAAAATATAAATAAAATATGCGATTAGTCGTGAAATGCTCGCGATGCACGTAACACTGACATCGCGCTCGAAGATCAGTGTTACACTGTGTGCAACATTCATATATTTTCACTAGTTGGCTCTTCGTTACGCGTGAATTTAGCGCAAGACATATCATTATACCAACAAAAATTTAAATAAAAAATACTATACGTTTGCGTTTTGATATATTTAGAGCATTTTATTATCTCACATTATATCGTAAGAATATAAATAAATATGTGAACGAATAAATCTTTGTAAATATCTTTTACGAAAAATGCCAGGACGATCGCTCTTAATTTTGTCTTCTGAAAAATGCTCTAAATCTATAATAAATAAATGCACTTTAGTTTTGTAAAAATGTATTTTTGTTATCTTCAATAAAAAGCATTTAATATGTAAAAATATTTTTATGTACTTTTACATGTAGTTTGGCAGAAATTATTGTCATAAATTATAACAATATCATATAATTTAATGTTAAAGAAAAAATATCTGTCAAAGATTATATTAAAATTTAATATACATAGCAAAAATAATTTCGCATAAGTAGAATAACTTATAATTATCAATATTATTACTACTTTTTTAGATCAATTAATATAGAATGTCAATTAATTTCAATATCTTTAAGTCAAATTGTAGAAGTATATGTTATTCATTATATCCTTTTTATATTATTTTAGCTAAACATTTTAAAGATATAAGAAGGCACTAGAATTTATTTTATATAAAAGCAATATTATTCTTTTAAAAGAGCTTAGTCATAATTATCAGTTGTCGCACCAAAGTTTATCACAATTGTATGTTTGCTTTATTATATCAAGTTAACAGTTGTTCCAGATAAAAAATAATTCTACTGTTAATTTAGTTTTTTTAATTATATTAGAATTTATTATTAAATCTGCATGTCAATTTTTAAATTTGCTTCATATATAACCATTATATATAATAAAATAGTTATATCTTTAATAAATAATCTTATTCAATATAAAAATAATGCAGCTTTGAAGTTATATTAACTATTATTGTTATAAGCAATAAATAGGATAAGAAAATATATTTTTAATATAAATACATATATACAACCATATAAATTTATAACTTTAGTAACAATAGTGAAATTAACAAACATTTTTTAACTAATAATGAATAATAAAAAACATAAAAAAATAATTATATATTCATAATAATTAGAACATTACTTAATTTAATTTAGTTTAATTTAACAGTTATATCTACGTGAAAAAAATATATCTTCTTATCTCATAATATTGTTACAATTTAATCGATTAATTACCTTGAATTAAAAGCCATTCTAATATATATGTTTGCACGGAATATCTTTAGTTACTTACAGTTACATTTGTTTTAACTGAGTATTCAGTTATATAAAGTATATATATAATAGGGCCTGCAAAACTCAATAGTAATGAAAACAGAAGAAGTTGTGTCCAAGATAATCCCCAATTGTCTCCAGAACATTTTAATATATCTGTTTCATACCGTTCTGGTATTTCTGTACTTTCTGTATCACTAAGTAATCGATCATGCTCTGAGTGAAAAACTTCAGAAGAATTGGCATTATTGTAAGATGATAAAGGTTCACACAATGAGTTTAATATAATTGTATTAATTTCCATGCTTGATTCTATATTCGTTGGCATAAGATTTAAGTCCATCAGCTGCTCTTCCTTTCTTACAGATGTTTCTTCTTGACATAGCGTAGATTCAGTAATAGTATTGTTGCCATGGCTTTCAGGCAGTGTTTCAGTTAAAATAGAAAATGGCTGTACAGGAACCTTAATATAAGATTTAGCATAAATTTCATTTTCTTTGTCAATTTTATTAATTCGTTTCAATGCAGATATCTAAAATTATGCAATACAAACAAAATTAGCATAAAGATATAAATATGATTATGTTGTATAGATCATAATTTCTACATACTGTACATCCATATCGAAGAGCCAATGCCTGTAAAGTATCTTCAGGTTTTACTTGTACATTAATCACTTCAATTTTGCGTTTTGATCGTTTTATAGTTTGTAAAAAGATATCCTCATCTATATTTTCATCATCCGAGTTTAAAAATACATAATGTGGAGAACCTTCCCTTCCTCGTTGATAGATTGTCTGCCTGAAATTTTAATTTATTATAAAAAATTAATATTATAATCAATTTAAAGAAATGTTTGCAAACTTGATAAAATACATATCTCGCAAAAATTATTGATTACAGTAACTAATTATATCTAATAGTACAGATTAATTCTGTATATTTTATATATTACCTGTTTGAAATTTTGTTACAAGAACATTATGTAAATTTGACAAAACGAAATGCTAAATTGTAATAAGATATAACCTTGAATTAAAATTACCTAGCACTTTTCTGTTCCTCAAACATCGAATTTACAAGTTTTTGTGGCATAATGTGATCATGCTTAGAATAATTTCATTCTTCTTACAATAATACTTATTTCGTATCGTGCTTGTATATACAAATATTAAAAAATATGTTGTCACAAACAGTACAGGTTATGACAAATAGACGGATGCATGTTAATAGTATGAAAGAATAGGTTCAAGTTAAGTTAGGTTATATCAAAGATAAGCCTGAGAGGGGCCATGCCATTGTTTTTCGTACGACGCTTTCTCTAGGCCGTACAGTAGCGCTAACTGGATCCATTTTTCGAGCCGGCGGAACTACATGGCCAGATCCACTTTTCGCTATGGTAAAACGGCCGATTGGTGCATGTCCGTACTAGATCCATAATTGTGGATCAGAGAGAAGCCTGAGAGCGGTCATCACCCCGATTTAGCTGCAACCACAATTCAAGACGCTTCTATGTGCACAAAACGTGCACATTGAACTACTGAGCCATGTACACGATACTTTCCAGTGGGTAACATGCTATGTGCACAATGTTTGGTTCTGTTCCATTCTATGTGCACAAAGTGTCGGTAACACAGAGCTAGTAGGGTAACATTGATGTATATAAAATAAATTTTCAATAAAAAAACATGCACATGTCATTATTTATTTTTATGTTAAAGCTTAATTTACAATAAGTTCTTTTTAACATAAATATACGTGACAATTTTGTTAATAAAAAATTGCATCCAAGAATCGCGACATATAAGTTTTTTTAATTTTTGTAAATTCTATTTTTATATTTTGCCCTTACTTTACAATTTTTACGTAACAAGATTATAACTTTTAGATACATAGCACGTTTTGTGCACATAGAGGCGTCTTGAATTGTGGTTGCAGCTAAATCGGGGGGATGATCGCTCTCAGGCTTCTCTCTGCTGGTACGATCATTTTCTTTCTTTCAATGGAAAGAAAATTTAAAGAATGTTGTGAAATAAAATACATTGTTTGTCGAGAAAAGATTTTAATAAAACCAAATACAATATAATAATAGTATACAATAAGTAATATTAAATTCAGAAAACATATACAATGAAAAAGAAATATATACAACAATGCTGCATACAGATGCAATAATGTGATATACATATATATATGTAATACAATATACAATTATATAATAATATAATATACAATATAATATACAATATATTAATACAATATTTTGTACAAATGAGAAACAGATTTTTACAAGTTTACAATATTTAAGAGAAATGTTCCAGTGGCAATATATTTAAGAATTAATTATTATTAAAAATGTGATGTTTTCTATGTGAAAATAATATTTTTAATATTATATAATAAAAATTAAAATATTTACTTCGCGGAAATTTAAAACCAAAATTTGCATTTATTAAACGACGATATTAAATATTTGCAAAAATAATTGGATACGTAAATTTTACCACAGTTTCCGGACATTATATTTATGAATATTAAAAAATTAATTTTGTTCATATATTTTCGGAGATTGAGACATATCCAGCCATTGGGACATTTAGCTTATTACAATTTTTCTTAATATATTATCCTGTATTCCATCGAAATAATATACAAGATAATACAAAATGAAAATAATATGCCAATATGTCAATAATATGTCAATAAAATCATTTAAACGTTCAAAAGTTTTATGTATAATGCAAAATACTTTAGTTAAAAAGAGCTGAACAATACGATTTTTTATTTATAATCAAAAGTATCTCTTATAATTCAAAAAGTAGTAATATTTTATTAGTGAAATTTATTAATCTAAACATTTAAACGTCTAAACGTTCAAACTTTTTCATAATTTACGCAAGAAACATCTTTCGTTTTTCGAAAGAGAATCTTGCTGTTTGCCCACCCGAAGTTTTATCATTATTTTTGTCATCAATAAACTACAAACTAACTGCCAAAGCAGAAGTTCCAAAGTTTATCGACAGCAAAGAATTAAAAAAAAAATACAATATAGAAGTGATAAGAAGTTTTAAAATCCTACCTACCTACCCACAAACTTTATCTAGTAGAAAATCCTACCTAATTAGAAATTCTATACCTAAGAGTTCGTACAAAAAATTTTCCGCAGGATGCTTTAGCGCAAAGCTCGACTCAGTTACCGCCATTTGCATCTGAAATTCGGGAAGGAGTTTTTCGCAAGATGCTTTAGCGCAAAGCTCGACTCAGTTACCGCCATTTGCATCTGAAATTCGGGAGGGAGTTTTTCGCAGGATGCTTTAGCGCAGAGCTTGGCTTAGTTACCGCCATTTGCATCTGAATTTCGGAAGGAAATTTTCCGCAGGATGCTTTAGCGCAGAGCTCGGCTCAGTTACCGCCATTTGCATCTGAATTTTGGGAAGGAGTTTTCCGCAGGATGCTTTAGCGCAGAGCTTGGCTCAGTTACCGCTATTTGCATCCAAAATCTGAGAGCTACTACCTTGGTGTTTCTCACAAGACGCTAGCGCAGAGCTCAGCTCAGTTTCCGCTAGTTGCGTCCGAAATTTTTGTTGATAGTCGATCATTATTCAATGATCGATCGTATCAACGTTGTTTCGAGATCTGTGCTCGACCATCATCGACAGGACCACAAATTTCGAATTTCCGCGCTCAACCATGGGATCAACACTAGAACTACCGACGATTAACATATACCAATTTTTATTTCTTTTTTCTTTCTTTTTAAAAGGTGATAAAGAGAAAAAGTACATTAATCAATTTAATTATTTAACACAATGCAACACAAGTCACAGAAAAAAATCTTACAAAAAATACATTATAAATTTAAATAATTATTCTAAAATGAATAAACTGGTCATTTTGACCGCTTTGATAATTCTAGTGTTCTAGTGTTAAGCCATAGGACCACGGATGCATGGGTAAGCTAGGAAAGATTGCGAAGAAATTGACGTATAGCAAGAATAAATATATATTTCAAAATTGTAAATAAATTGTTAATAAAAAATG